TATATATATATATATATATATATATATATATATATATATATATATATATAATCTCATAAGTATAATTAATTATACTCATCCGGAAAAAAACTTAGGTGTTTTGGCTTATAAATGAACAAACCAATACCCAGCGATAATAAGGAATAATAAAAGGAATAAAAAAAAGGAATATAAAAGAAAGAACTAAGAACATGTACTTCAGGCGAAAACAATCGTCCAGAATCCAAGCTTAGAATCCAAAGGAAAAAAAACACCAACACGAGTATCACAAAAATAACTAAGCAAAGTAGAGCAAATTTATGAACCTAAACAGCCAGGAAAACCTACTTAGGTTGCACCTACGCGGATCGTCAGGATACGCAGGCCAAAGAGGTAACATTAGAACAGAATATAGATAGCTTACAACAACTCTTCTAATGTTACCTCTTTGGACAGCGTACCCTGACGATCGCGTAAATGAAACAGGCAGGTTTGCCTGAATCTTTAGGTTCATATAGTTTTATATATATATATATATATATATATATATATATATATATATATATATATGTATGTGTGGGGGGTGTAAAAAATATATAGAAAATAAAAAAGAACTCGTTAGGTAAAAATTCCAAAGTTCTTTAGTATTTTTATTGTTTTAAAAACTGTGCTCGATATAAAAAGTAGAGCCTAAATATAATTATTTATTTAAAAATATGTTTCCATCGCTACATAAGAGTTCTCATGCTTCAAAACAAGAGCCAAAAACTTCACTATAATTATATTTCAATTTAATTCAAATAATTATATTGAAGTTTTCGGCTCTTGTTTTGAGCTATGAGAACTCTTTAACGTTAGAATCATATTTCTAAAAATTATATATATATATATATATATATATATATATATATATATATATATATATATTGGGAATTAATTTTCATTTATTAATCTGACATTGAGCAGATATGTATTTAAATCAGATATGTATATTTCAGGAATCGGAAAAAAATCTGTCTTTAAAAGTAATATTCGAGCTTTGCTTGGTCATCAGGAACTTTGTAAACGAAAAGTCAAATCCCGTCACATTTAATGACGTTTCCCTCTAGGAGAATGCAGCTTCGAATCCTGCCGGTGTGGGCATGTTTTTTGAAATAAGATTGCTCGAATATTCAAGCAGGTAGATGGAAATAAATAAATAATCAATATAACAACAGAGCAAATAATTATTAACTTAAAAAAGAAACAACCTTAAGCTTCAATGACTGTAATTTATTTCCCCAGAAAAAATGTTTTTCTGGTTCATCATATATTATATATATATATATATATATATATATATGTGTGTGTGTGTGTGTGTGTGTGTGTGTGTGTGTGTGTGTGTGTGTATTTAGTTGGATTCTTTCATATTCATGGAGAAGTCTGTCCGTGAATATCTAAGGATCCAACTGAAAATAAGTAGAAAAATCTTGTGTAAATTATTCAATGAAACATGTCTTAATGTAAACATGATGCCAAAGTATACGCAATATATATATATATATATATATATATATATATATATATATATATAATTTAAAGTGACTGGTAGAGGATTGGGATTCAATCATATTTACAAAGAAAAAAAAAGCGGTTATAGACATTGGTCTTGCAACTACTTCTATTTCTTAATTGACATCTGTCTCAATTGATAGAAATTTATCGTCACATCACAGAATATGAAAAGCACAGAAGGCCTACGTCAGATCTTGATTGAAAATGGAACAATCCTCTGTCGCTCAAATAATAAAAAAATATTTAAATTAATAAAAGTAATCTATTTTACAAGAAAAGCAACAGCCTTAACCAGAATTTGCTTCAATAATGCCGTTCACATTCACAAGTGATTTTAATATGAAATGCACGTCAGTCACGCGACGTTATGTAAACCGACAGTGCATAAAATATTATACCCTCAATTCAAATCTAAACGAATTATTTCACAATATATTTCTCAACAGACTAAAGCAGAAATTACCAACTTTCACCTATCAATGCCTTTTCTCTGATGATGACTTAAGGAGCGATCGAAGGCTCGAGGACGCACCTTTTCAACCAATTCAAATACAGACAGGTTCATTCATAAATTGCTATTAAATATATAAAAAAGATTAATTAGACATCAAGGAAAATGGATCAAGAATCAATTATCTTACCACACATACACACACACACACACACACACACCCCCGGTGTACGGGCATTCACCCGAAGTGGGTAAGCAGTCCCCAATGAGATCTGATTATAGTGGTGAAGGTTTCGTGCAGGACCATCCACACTTTTTGTAGGGCCTGATTACAGAGACCTGGTGCACTACGTGCCGTAAGGTCCCCAAACGACCCTCTGCAGGTTTTGTATTCAGAGTTGTCATTCTCCTAGACCAGTTGCCATCCAATGCTATAGAACCCATAGCTGCAGGGAGAAGAAGAGGATTCACACCTCTCCCAAGGGTATTAGCATGTAAGTGAATGTAATGGATTCGACTGAAATTCGATCTCGGCTCTCCGATTCCTCAATCCAAGCCCCTATCCATCACACACATTATACATATTATATCTTGTGCGATGGATAAATTGTCGTCTAAATTACACAGTAATGAAAATAATTCATGTTCATTGTAACGGATATATTTACCAAAATTAGTCAAAAAACATCTTGAAATGCGAAAGGGTAAATTTATTCAATAAAATTGCGATTTGCTTCAAACAAGCCTCCAGTATATTCGATAAGTAAAAATTGTGTAAAAATTGTAAAAAAGATTATAAAAAGTTACTCAAGATTTGTTAGATGATTTGTTAGATCATAATTAATGAAAACAAAAAAAATAGTTATAAGTGTATATAGTGCCATAATATTGCTGTACACAAATTATAAGACAAATTGTTTTAAATCTGTATTGTTTATTGAAAATTGCACTAAAACTATTGCATTATAATATAGCCTAATTGTTTAGAATAATTTCCCTTTTAAACAAATGAGGGTGTTATTAGGTGTCACAATGATTTAGTAAAAATGTGAGTGTGCCTTGCATTTTGTCTTTTGTAAATCTTCAGTAAATTATGAATTTTCTAAGACTATGTCATAAAAGTTTAACTGAACACCGGAATTCAATTCCAACGCCCCAATATCGAACCTAAACTCAGTTGTTAAACTTCTTTCCTTAAAAAACTTTAACGATTTAGAAAAAAATATTTTCTGTCGTTATCAATGACTGAACAAACCTAACTCTAGGTCATCAGTCCTGGAGGAAATTAATGCTTAACAGTTAAATAGACCTCGAACAGAATCTTGTTGGCTGTGTAAAACTCAAGAGAGATTTCTGTAAAGGTCTTCGTATCAAGTTTTCTGAGAATATTGGCACAGAATATAAGATAACGTATAATAATTTTGGTCGCGTTTGTCTAACAAGTGCTGGTCTCAAAAACCATCAAACCCCACAACACTACAAGAGTTGCGTCCAACATCCTACATCTGCGCAAAAGAATGTAAAGCTCCAGCAGGATTCAAAATCACATTACCACTATTTGTATTTGAGAATAAATCAGTTGATGCTATCTCTCGAAATCGAGCTGAATTTCGATGCAAGAAATGGATGTACGTGAGAAGAATTTTTGCAATTATACCACTTTCGTTGGAGACCAGCAAAAGATCTTTGTTAAATATTTTTTCCGTTTAGTCCATTTTTTTTTCGAGAATCTAATGTATCCTGATTTTTAATCGATATCTGAAAGGATTCAAGATCGACCATCTCTTGGGTTTCGTTGTTTTTTTTTTTTTTTTTTTTTTGCTGCATATCTACCTGAATGGGTTATTTAATGCCAAAAGTAAAAGATGAAAATTCAAAATTTATAAGTAATTCAAGAGAATGACATATATTTCAGGATTAAATTTTAATTATTTAGCCTCATCTGTTGTTACCAAATAAACTTGCAAAATCAAACGAGGAATGAAAATGTGTTTCTTCTTACAAGAAATAAATTGAACCATAGCATTTTTCTTTTTTTTAAATTTTATTAAAGTTTTTGATAATGTATGCCATACCATCAATTTTACTATCAAATGCATTGATTGTCATTTTCCTATAAAAATGTATTGTTGGTCATTTTGTAATAAAAGTCATTTTATATTATAATAAGTATTGTTGATACTTTTGCTATAAAATGTATATCATTTTGTTTTAAAAATATATCGCTGGCCATTTTTCTATAAAAATATATTATTCGTAATTTTACGATAAAAAATGTATCCTTGTTAATTTTTTATATATAAAAAAATATTGTTGTTATTTGCTATCTCCAGCGCATCTTGCTAAGCACAAAGATTTCTTGGGAATTGTTCCGAAAGCGCCAACCACTAAAGGGACAATCTTGAGATGCTGCTTGATTTATTTCTCTGGTGTGCTCCCCAACCTGCCAGGTTTTTTACCACTGTATTTTATCCTACCATTTTTCACGATGTTCTTATCCCAAGATACGGCAATGTCTATCAGGATCCATCTCATGACTGCTCTTATATACAAGTATACTATCAATGCGATTGCTTTCCAAGCGCTTGTCAATCAAGATGGTCGTATCCCACATGAGCTTCCCTAACAATGATGAATGTTTATACCACTTCTGTGCGCCCTTGGGGTTATACTTGCTGTATAGTTCTCAATGCTTCTGCGTCAGAAACATAGAATTACGAAGAATCTTAAAATTTGCGAATTAAAATCTTCAAAATACATATTCCAATTCAAGTTTTTCCGAAAGTCCAGTCAGAACGTACCATCTATTCCAGATATTTTCGAGCCTGAGATCTTAATTCTATAAATAGAAAAAGGCAACATTAGCAAAATATCTTCGATTGAACAACGTTAGTATCATTGTATCGGCTGAGTCAAATCAAGTAAACCTTTCATTTTTCTTTTTAGGTAGGGACAGTAACAAACAATCTGCACCTCACCTTAGAAGTCTCAATGCTCAGGCTTTTCCCATACTTAGTCACCAGCGAAGAGGCAACGCCGTAAACCCGGAACTTACGATTGACAGACGTTCTATAGCTTCATAGAAGTTGACTCTAACCTGTGGGCCCGGCCAGCCTTCGGCGTACTCGCAACGGACGTGCAGCTCCTCTTCATCTGCGATGTGGAACCATGGCAACGGTGGCAACGGAAGCGGAAAGGATTCAGAGACAAATGAATGGGGTCTGAGAAAAGATACAATTGACAAGATAAGTAGAGAGGAAGATCATAAGATATATTCAATGTTGGTTAAAATGAATTGTTTGTATTCTGTTTATATAGTATTTATCTGATTATATATATATATATATATATATATATATATATATATATATATATATATATTTCTCTCTGTGTGTGTGTGTGTGTGTGTGTGTGTGTTTGGCAGAAGATTCGATTCGTTGAAATGCGTCAAGAAAAAGACATTTGGTGATCAGTCTATTTCCGATTTGCGTGGCGGTGGAAGAAAATGGAGGAGTTGATGATGTAATTAAAGATGTCAGGAAAACAGAGAAGATAAATGGAGAGATAGAGAAAGATACGGTAGTGGTCAAGGGATGTAGTTAAGATACGAGTTATTCAGAAAAAGGTGGTTAGGCAGAAGAAAACGAACGGACCGAGACGTTGTATGGAATTGGAATGAAAGTATTCAGAGAAATCAATAAGGAAAATAAATGGAGAATTCTAAAGTCAGCACGACGCACTTAGAAGTGGAATACAAAGAATGATTGATAATGAGTAAGAAAGAAGGAGGAAAAGAAGAAGAAGAAGAAGAAAAGGAATTAAGAAAACGAGGGTCGATATGGATAACAAGGTAAAAGAATGCGAAGAAAAAGAATGGAAAATGTCAAAAACCCGAAAAATGTGGACGAAAAGGCAAGGAAAAAGGATAATGACACAGGTTGAAAGGAAAAAAAGAACAGATTATGAATAAGAAGAAGACAAGGAAAGAAAGAGAAGATGAGAAAAGAAAAGAATAGAAAACAAAAAAGAAGAGAAAAAAACTAGAATAGAGGAGAAGAGAGAAAAGGGGGATAAAAGAGAAGAATTGAAGAGGAAAGAAGAGAATGGAAGTGAGAAGAGATGAGAGAAGAATAGAATATGAGAAAGAATAGAAGTGAATAAAGGATAAAAGAGAAGAGAAAAGAGAAGATAATAGAGAATAAGAGAAGAAGATAAGGGAAAAGAAGAATAGAAGTGAAGAAAGAAGAGAAGAAAGAGGAGAATGAAGAGAAGAGAAAAGAGAAGAAAAGAGAATAGAGAATGCTAGAAAGAAGAGAAGAGAAAAAAGAAGGATAGAAGGGAATAGGAAATAGAGAAGAAAAGAGAAAAAGAATTGAATAAAAGAACAGAAGATAGGAAAGAATAGAAGAAAGAAGAGAAGAGAAAAGCGAAAAATAGAAGAGAAAAGAGAATAGAGAAGAAAAGAAAGAGAGAAAAGAAGAGAAGAGAAGAAAGAAAAGAAGAGAAAGAAGAGAAAAGAAAAGAGAAGAAGAGAAAAGAAGAGAAGAGAAGAAAGAAAAGAAGAGAAAGAAGAGAAAAGAAAAGAGAGGAAGAGAAAAGAAGAGAAGAGAAGAAAGAAAAGAAGAGAAAGAAGAGAAAAGAAAAGAGAAGAAGAGAGAAGAAAGAAAAAGAGAGGAGATTAGAAGAGAAGAAAGAAGTGATGAAAAGTATAATAAGAAAAAGAAGAATAAAGAGAATAAAAAATTTAAATCTAAAATAAAACAAAAAGTAGAAAATATAAAATAATAATTATAGAAAATTAAAAACTCATGAAACACAAAATGTAGGTTGATTGATTTTGCAACATGTCAATACTTGTTGGTTTATTTAATGCTAATTTTTTAATGTCTAAGTGACAAAATTATATATATATATATATATATATATATATATAATCGGTATCACCACAAGCAAGGCAGTATAGCCACTAGCACGCAGGGGGTTACAGGGTGTGAAGGAATTAGGAACAGAAACATTAGTAACAAGGAGAAGTATTGATAAAAAAAAAAGGCATAGAGACGCATCCTTACGGCGGTGGGAAAGAGACCGAAGCCGAGTCGCCAGATCAGTATTAATAATATTGCCGATTCTTCTTTGGATCTTATCTTGGCGCTCCAGAAAAATAACAGGAGCACCGCACTATATATGATAACAATATTCTAAACATGGACGAATTGTAGACTTAGAGATATACAAGGTAGATTCCGGAGAGAAAATTTGTTTCGCCCGACACAATGAACCATCATTTTTAGAAACTAATATAACGATGGATTCAATGTAGCTTTCTACCTCATGTCAGTTAAGAACGTTAACCCGGGAAGGGGCACTGAGTTACTTTCTTAGAGGATAGCATGAGCCATGCTGATGGAAGGCAGAGAGAGGTCTCTCGAAGGATAAATCGAGAGCAGTTTAGTTTTGGGTGCGTTAAAATTAACAAGCCATCTTTTGTCCCTGTTAACAACAGTCTTGGGTTAGTTTTGTACATCGGCTACCATTTTGACCTTGTTCGACTGATGAACCTTACTATGTAGCCAGAAGTAAATGGTTATGTCGTCATTGTAGATGCCAATTTGAGAGCTGATGTCATCGGGGAGATCGTTAATGAAGATTAAAAACAGCGGAGGACTAAGGATGGAGCCTTGGCAGACACCCGCGTTAGTAGGAAAGGGTGTAGACGAATGGCCGTCCAGGACAACTTTCATTTAACGATTTGATAGGAACGAGTGGATCAGCTAAAAAAACATGACCGGAGATACCGCTGCTTTTCAGCTTGTAGAGAAGATCTAAATTCCAGACCTTGTCAAAGGCTTTCGAGATGTCCAATACTACACACCGAGCTTCATGGTTTTTCGCTAGAAGATGATATATTCTTTCCACAATTATCGTTAGTACATCATCAGTTGATTTGGAGAAACGAAAGCCGTATTGTTTGTCTAATAAAAGGACCTGTGATGATTTTCGCAGATGGATGGATAGAAAATGCCTTTTCTATACTGTCAGCTATTGCGTCTAATATACTGCAGTCTTGGGAAGAGAGGGAGCGATAAAGGAAAAAGAGATAGCTGACAGAGTTTAGTAGCGAAAGATGGAAGCAAATGAAAGAGTAGTCAGCGGCTTCGAGAGACAATTCCCTGGCCATTGGAAGATTATTCCAGATGTAAACACTAAGACCATGCATAAGAATTCTGGAATCTTTTCGGCGAAGTGGAAGATACACTTGAGCCAATAATTCATTAGTAGCAATGGAAAAATTCAAGTTGGTTTCACAGTGGGCAAAGATTTCTGGTGAATTTTCCAGGAAAAAAGATTCTACGCTGCAGGATACCAAGAATACTGAGTGGGGTAGGTGTTTTTTTTGTTAGTTTTATTTCTTTGTATTGTGATTTCCATCAGATATATTTTGTGGAGAGAAAAAAACACCATAATTGTCACTCTGCGTCGTCAGTGGTAATACAAACCAGCCAGTGCGTAGCTCAGAGCAGAGTATAATGTGGCCTCAGAGTTGCCCACCGGAAAGATATGAAGGGACATATACCCACGTGTGACATTGCACTACAGATCATGTTGCTCAGTTTGGCTAGGGAATCGAGTCAAGTATTTGAGTGAGGGATTGGCCAGTGAGAATATTTAATGTCTGTATACCGGCAACATCAATACCTTTAGAATTTTTTAGCCACCTGCCGTGGTGAACATTAAAGTCACCAAAGAAAAAGATCTTCGCAGATGGATGGATAGAAAATGCCTTTTCTATACTGTCAGCTATTGCATTTAATATGCTATTGTCTTGGGAAGAGGGGGAGTGATAAAGGAAAAAGAGATAGCTGCTGAGTTTAGTAGCGAAAGATGTAAGCACATGAAGGAGTAGTCAGCGGCTTCGAGAGACAATTCCCTGGCCACTGGAAGATTATTCCAGATGTAAACACCAAGACCATGCATATGAATGCTGGAATCTTTTCAGCAAAGGAGAAGATATCCTGGAACCAAGAATTCATTAGTAGCAATGGAAGAATTCAGTTTGGCTTCACAGAGAGCAAAGATATCTGGTGAAATTTCCAGGAGAAAATATTCTACGCTGTAGAAGTTGGAACGGATACCAAGAATATTGAATGAAGAAAGATTGAAAGGCGTAGGTGTTTTTTTTTTTTTGTTTGTTTGTTTTTTTGTTTGTTTGTTTTTTTTTTTTGTTAGCTGGTTTAGTTTTTTTGTTGGCATTTCGATGAGAGAAAAAAAGACTAACTTAATTGTCCCGAGCTGTCGTCAATAGAAATACAAAGCAGCCAGAGCGTAGCTGAAAGCAAAGCGTATTGTGGCCTCAGAGTTACCCACCGGAAATACATGAAGGGACACCTACCCATGCGCGACATGACACTACAGACAACCCGATATTATGCGACTGTTGATCGGAGCAGCCTCTCTAAGCGCTATCAAAGAGTTCGGGTTCTTAATGACCAATCGGAAGCAGCAAACAGCAAACAGCCAACCCGGTATCATCATACCAGAAAGTCAGAGCCACTGGTTAGTCTGATCACAAAAGAGTTAAGACAGTTAAATCATTTTGGCCCTGGTAAGAGAAAGAAAAAGAAAGAGAACCAGTAAAGGGTATCATGAACAGAGAACAAATGATCTACTACTCCTGTTCATGGAAAGAGTACGGAACAGATAATAGGTAAGACTATATACTCCTATTAAACTGTTTAAAAGATCGGAAAGAATTCATATTAAGTAATGTCTTAGTATAAGTTCTGATGTCTACCACCAACTAAAATATCGGGGTAGTAAAACAATTTTTCAGCATTGATAAATAACAGTAGGTAAGTCAATGGAAATAGATCTGAGAATACACAGGAGTCATTAAAAGATAAGAATACAGATATCTTTCCTTACTGTTTCTCAGACCAATCATTGTTTTTTACCCTTCACACAGAAAAACTTTCTCACTGCCAGTTCAAGGAAGACATTTGTGTCACGAGCACCCCCCCCACACACACACACAAAAAAGTTTACATCAAGAAAGTTTAACATCGAAAAACATAAGAAAAATTAATTCCTTTCAATAACCTATAGAAATATCCACTCTTTGCCTGATGAATGTCGTGAGACCGGAAACGCATGTAGCAAAATTATGGAAAATAAAGCATAATATATTTCTTTAAGAAAAAATCCATATTACAACCAAAAATATTTGCGGTTTTTATCTTCTTTTTAATATATGCACTCTCTCGTTGAAACATCTATAACTTCTTTCTCATATATATATATATATATATATATATATATATATTAGTGAATATACATAATGCCCAACGTCGATAGCACCATTCGGAATTTCAGGCAGTCCTTGCTATCTTCAATGGCGGATATATTCTGATCGTAATGGAGTTCGTGTCCTCTTTAGTGATGATTCAAAATAGTCTGTTAAAACGTGTTTATTTAATTATCGTCGCGTAAAATATTACAATTAACGATCAATAATTTATATCGTTCAAATTCTTAACTTCGGAAGGCGAAGAATTAAAAAAATGATAAAGGAATTTTAATTTGATTTGAATTCAAAAAGAAATCAATATATCAATGGGAATAATTCTCTATTTATCCTACTCATTCGTATATATATATATATATATATATATATATATATATATATATATATATATAAAACGTCACACATTATGAAATGGACAAAGTCCGACAATTATTTTAAGCTATTTTTTATGTTTATACGTTCTTTTTATAGATACAAATATTTAAGTAAATGATTTGTTTATAATAAACAATATTAACAACATTTACCGGCCTAATTCTCCGAAAAAGTTTCATAGAAAATATGCATCCACCAATAGGAATCGACCTGTTTCCTATAAGAAACTGTCATATAGCCTGACGGGCTTTACCGATTTAGGTACAGAGGAGCGTTTCGGTTAGCAAGGTCGTGTTTACTGTTTTTAAACTTACAATTCTCCACGATTTTCTCTTAAATTCATATCTGCTCGATGTGTATCCAAATGTAAACAAATGAGGTCACACATTATGAAATGGACAAAGTCCGATAATTATTTTATGACACTTTTTATGTTTATATTTATATATTATGGTTCGATTCCTGTCGGAGGACGCATATTTTCTATGAAAATTTCTTGGACATTTAGACCGGTAAATGTCGTTAATACTATTTGTTGAGGGGTTCCCTTTTTACATAAATGGACTCACCCAGTATATACATATACTACTGCTACGTGAAGACCCGAGAGACGAGAGCAACAGAGGGTGAAGTTAACAGACAGACATAACGATCGTAGCGAGCAAGAGTCACCGTGAGCGAGCACGTAGACTCAGTAAGAAGTCATACAACGATACTTCAATACCAAAGTCTGTATATACATTTTGCTACTAACCCGTATTCTTGGAACTACTAACTTGCATTACCAGTTTGTATTATTACTTTAATACATTATTTTCCTATATTCATTCTTGGCGTTTGTTATTTATTGGTACCGGATTTCATACCGGAATCCACAACAACTTGGCGACGAGGACTTCGAACTCACACGGAAAAAAAATGTTCTCTCTCATCGACCACAACAACTTGGCGACGAGGATATCAAAATCACACGGGAAGAACAAAAAAGACAAAATTCTCCCTCGCCAACTTGGCGACGAGGAAATTCGAACTCACACAAGAAGAGAACAAAAAAAAATTCTCCCTTGCCGACC